TAACATTATGTATGGTATTCTTGAATCGAATCAATGACACAGAACTAGGTAAGCAGTTTGTAACATTATGTATGGTATTCTTGAATCGAATCAATGACACAGAACTAGGTAAGCAGTTTGTAACATTATGTATGGTATTCTTGAATCGAATCAATGACACAGAACTAGGTAAGCAGTTTGTAACATTATGTATGGTATTCTTGAATCGAATCAATGACACAGAACTAGGTAAGCAGTTTGTAACATTATAGTCTTCTAGAATCGAATCAACCCGAAATGCTCAGAAACTTTTTGTTCCTCTTCACCCTATTATAAAGAGAGAGAGATTCTATAGTTATTACAAGTTAGCCAACCTGTCATGAACATGTCTGAATCTATGTTTGTACGTTTTGCGTATAATTTTTAGAATATGTTGTCTTCTGAAAAGGTCGTATGAGGTATCTCTGGTAAATAGCTTTTTGGTGATCCTAATTTACTTGAAGGTTCCAAAGTGTTATTTAATGAAAAATAATATAAATATTCTCCTGGAAAACATAGAAATATAAAAACTTTAATATATTTTTGTAAGAGAAAGCTGTGTCGAAAGAATTATATATATCCAATCAATCATCAATTCTGAATTCAACTATAATAAGAAATAATATAAAACACATCCTTGTTAGTGAAAACATCAATTCTTGTAAAAGCTTGTTTAATTGTAGTTCTGGTATAATGAACGAGTGATTGACTTAGACTGAAACTTATAAAAAATATATATATATCTGAACAAAGTTAATGTTTCTAACTTAAAATTAATAAGAAAATAACTAACCTCAAGCAATTTTATTAATACATAGAAAAAAACAACACTTAAAGATGATGCTCAGACTAAGATTTAAACCTGGGCTCTTCACTTACCTGTCCACTCCAATTTACTTCTGGCCATTATCGATATCTAAGCAAACGACAACGTTTGTGTTTATGATCCAAGTTTACGGTTTATACGTTTGTTATTGATATTTTTACTCATGCCGCAATGCTTATTGTGTAGCAGACTACAACCACTGTCACTATTCGTTTTCAATCTCTTTTTTTTTTCTCTTTCTCAGCCACACAAATATGGGAGTTGGGCCAAGACAAGAGCAATCCAAGTCAATTCGTTACAGCAGTGGATAATTCGGATTTAGAAGCTTTTGGATTTACAGATAATTTTGTGTTCGATCTTTGGGGAGCAATTAGCGATGCCAAAGCGGGCAGGCTAAAGAAAGAGAAAGAAGACACTCCTTTTTAATGTTCTTAAGTTCTTCCAATAGTTGCAACTGTACAAGAAAAGCTATTTTCGTCTGGAAGTTCTTCGGATGACATATGAACAAGCACGATATAATTTTAAACATACATATAAATAACTATAATATATGACAAAGTTAAGACTTGTTTTTCTGTGGAAACTTCAAATATAGACGGGATGAGTAATCGCGTAACTGAAACTATACTTCTCTTACATGTAATATTGGATGAGATATCAGGATTGCTTCTAAATTAAGTCTAACACAACACAATGTATGGTTTCAATTCTCTAATTACTAAACAAAAGCGAAGAAATTCAATTTTTATCAGTTATAAGTAATGTTTTAATTTATTTCGTTCTTTTTACTTCTTATATAAACTACGGTAAATACTGTTATAACAAATAACATTTCAACCTTGGACGCTTGAATTTCTATGCAACAAATTTAAATATTTTTCTATTTATGTAGTATCTCTCTGCTTTTATATATTAAAATAACTGTTGACAGCCATTTTTCGTACTAAACGTTTACTACTAGTGTATTACAAGTAAAGCCTGAAACGCTGTAAAACACTTTTTTACATTAATAAAATAAAGAAAATTTATGACACACAAAACGTGGTTTCCTGGAAGAGTCTATGTTTATTTACTGCTGGAGTGAACTGCACCCTGGAGTGTTGTAAACGATCCGATTCAATTCGCCATTTTTTTTATATACCAAATATTTTTAATACCTTTAATATATTAAGCCTTAATATCTACTATAGTAAATTGTGTCATGTGTTAGTTTATTACATTTCTATTTTTATCTTTTTTATTTTTACCTAGGTTTTATGCAACATAAAAAGTATTGTATTGTATAGAGTTTTACGTTGCTAGATGTTATATTTCTAAATATGTCCGTGGCAAATTTTGTTATTCAATTTTTGATATAATTGAATCTATTTCAAGGTTGTGTTTTTTTTCAATCCTACGCGAAGGAGAATAACTACCATACATATACAAATTTCGTTATTCTATTTTTTATATAATGGAATTTATTTCAAAGTTGTGTTTTTTCAAACCTCCGCGAAAGAGAATAATTACCTTACTTATACAAACCAGCATTGTCATAGCGAAACAGTAAGTTAGCCCAAACTCACTAAGTACTGAATACACAAATCACTGAAACACTATAAATGAAGGAACTATTGTGAAGTTTTATTTGGTCATACATATTGTTACGACAGTGGAAGTCACGTGACTCTGGAAGCATGCGCGCTGGAGTTTCTCGAAGGATCATGAATATGCCCGGCAACTCTAGTCTGATCGAGATGCCCTCTTTTTTAATATATAAGCCTGGCAGAAACAACCAGCGGGATGGAAGAGATAGATAATTGAGTCAACCGAACAGTAGTGACGGTGATCCGTAAATTGTGTGTTTTGCAGTCGCATAGAGTGAAGTTATCGAGCTTGTGAATCACTGTGATTTATAGTGTTTTATAAAGGTTGTTAAGTTTAAAATGACTGTGGAAATTCTGTGTATTACTAAAACTTGTATCGAAAAAGAATAAACTAGTTTTAATCAAGAAGGGATTGTCTCGCTGAAGTTCCTCGGAAAGAATTTATACCGGAAATTAACAAACAAGCAGATATGTAACAAATTGGTGTCAGAGAGTGGGACGGAAAAGAAAAAAAAAGAAAAAGATGGAAACCAGAAGTGGCAAATCAAACTACGACTTAGCAGATTTGATGGCAGCAATACAAGAACAGCAAAAGAAACAAGAATAACGAGAAAAGAAACAAGAAGAGAGATTACAGCAGTTGTTGGAGGAGAAAGAAAAGAAACAAGAAGAGAGGTTACAGCAGTTGTTGGAGGAGAAAGAAAATACACAAGAAGAGAGATTACAGCAGTTGTTGGACGAGAAAGAAAAGAAAGAAGAAGAACGAGAAAATAAACAAGAGAGACTACAGCAGTTGTTGGACGAGAAAGAAAAGAAAGAAGAAGAACGAGAAAATAAACAAGAGAGACTACAGCAGTGGTTGCATGAGAAAGAAAAGAAACAAGAAGAGAGACTACACCAGTGGTTGGAGGAGAAAGAAAAGAAACAAAAAAAGAGACAACAGCAGAGGCAAGAAAACCTGCAACAGTGGCAGCTCGAACAGCAAAATAAACAAGAGAGATTACAGCAGTGATTTAGGAGAAAGATAATAAACAAGAAAAGAGACTACAGCAGTGGCAACTGTAACAAGAAAGGAAACAGGAAGAAAGTCAGCAGCAACTACAGGAAACTCAGCAACAGTGGCAAGACGTACAAATGGAAAAAATTAGTAAATTTCGGAGTGAATTAAATACATTAAAGGACAATTTACTGCCCTTTACACGGGGAGGATATATTAGCCATGGACCTAATCAGCCCCAGACAACAGTACGCCTCTTCCAGACCCTGCAGATAAACCGTAATGCAGACGTCTTCAGTCCTGCCAGAAGTCACATTCCAAACATGAGTGTCAGCAATAGGAGTGATCTAGTACGAAGGAAGGCACCATGGGAAGCATATAGAGCACAATTTGAGCTCCTGACAGAAATGAATGGATGGACAG